AAACAGTTTTCTGTTTGGCAAAATATCTCTGAAACAATATGTTACAGACTAAACACATCGCGTGCGACAAATAAATCTGTTCCAAAATACGCAGCTCAAACCAATCGATCACCTTCGACCCTTATCAGCACCAGTCAGGTCAATTTGACCAGTTGGTAACTTTTGCTCAAGGTCGAGCTCGAGAAGTTCAGTTCGCCTCCTCTCCTCTTCTCTATGACGTGCTTTCAACCTCATTCTCTCTCTCTCTCCGTCCCCCTTGTGTTGCTCACCCGAATTCCGTCTCGCACATCGCACACACTGTGATGACCTTATTTCGGACAAAGCGTATCCAAGCCTATCCTCTTAATCAAACTGTAATACTCCGATCGGGCAGGCAAACGATCAGTCCTCGTGACCGGAATCTGACCTTGAACACAGATTAGTCCTTGAAAAGAAGCTCGGACGAATGGTCAGGTTAGTGAATCCATTCGGACCACATGTAGATGCGTACAGAGTGATAAGTTGAAACATGTGGGGATAAATAGAAGCGGTCGAAGACGGTTAGAGGAGGAGGATGTGAAAAATTGATTTTAGCCCAAAAGTGAGATTTGAGTTTTAACTAACAGACTGTTCGTAATTAGGACAGTATTGAAAGAAGACGATGCCATCAATCAAACAGTAGTAGCAATTAAGATTCATAACTGAGATGGTACCAAAGTTCCGTTTAGTTTATCATGCAGGATTTCAGTATCGTCGCTGACAGCAAACCGATTTTGAGCGTAGATTCAAAGTGAATTCGGTAAGCCTGTTGGATGAACTCAAATTTGGTGGGTATGTACAGCAATAAACTTTTTTTTAAGTTCACAGAGCGAAGTCATTGACCAGCAGACATCCTATATTGTTCAATTGGGCCTCGTTACCAAAGGATCGAAGATTGGGAAACTGTGTGAAAGATAATGAATCACTCGTTCAACCGCACATTTCAAAAGACAGATACATACACACAAATTTTTCACCATCTGTATACTCTCTTAAAATTATTTGAATGTAAAGCTTACATTGAGAAAGATAAAAACCGGGGTAACCCAGCTGATAGCGAATAACAATTTGTACAGGCAACGACGTGTGCCTGACTCTTTAATATTAACAAAACAAAACTCAATAAATAATGGATCGATATTTCGATAGACTTGTGATATCGTTTGGTTTTGATACGCTCAATTTTAGTCTAGTTATTGTTTTCTCATTTTTGAAATTAACGGAACTCAGACAATTTACGTTAGGCAATAAATTTCGAATAACTGCAAATACATTATAACTAAAATTGAATCCATTATTTTCTCCTAAAAACGCGAGATTAGTGCAATCATTATTTGGTGTCAAGCGAAGTCAAACATAAGCGTAACTGACTCTCCACTCCACTCCACCCCACCCCACCCCACCCCACTGAGAGGCCGTGGATACAACAACAACTGTTTATCTGGCTCTCCAAAAATCCGCTGAAATTGATGCACATTCATCGAACTGCACTGTAACTCGAACTCGGTGCTCCAAAGATGGCGGGGGTGGGTATTAGTCTGACACCCTAATCACTTCGACGATTAGTGATGAGTGACTTTTTCAGGTTCGAACGGTAATCGCATTCATAAAGAAAACTTCAAATCTGCCAAACAGCAATGTGAACAATTATCTTTGTGTTAGAAGCTCATTCAGCGGACTCTGGTGAATTCTAAGGAGAATCTGTCGGGGCAGTCAGCATACATGCTAACTGGTGGATGCCACATGCCTTTGTAAGTTGGATTGGTAAAATTCAAATGTGAAAAGATCAGTACTCTGTCGGTGTGGCCTTGTAGCTCAGCTGGTAGAGCATGCGCGTACGAAGCGTAGGCGGTGTCCATGCGTCAGTTCAAATCCCACCGAGGCCACTGAACTTTTCACAATCGACATACAAAAAAATTTCTCAACTTAAACACCTGACCATCTGTCCATGTGACCTTGACACAATGTGGACAGAATCATTTGCTCTCTACGATAACCAGGAGCAGTAACCACCGTGAGCTATAGTCCTGAATGGTTGCTTCCCCAACCCAAATACTCCCGTAAGTAAAAAATCCCTAGTGTTGCATACCCGGCATATTGCTTGGCATTCCACTACTTCTTAGGTCTAGTGAAAGCGGGCTCTGTTTGAAATAAATCGATCCATTTACAGTTCGCCGAGAAGATACACTATTGACATTAGTTTATTCACCTTGCAACATGTGACTCGGTCAATTGTGCAAGAAATCGTTCATTAACCAAAAGTTGCAACACTAAACTTTATAACACACAAAAAATCGATTAAATTTTTCAGCATTATCCAAACTCAAAATATTCAACAACTTTGATTTGAATCGTTCATCGGAACATGCCTAAAGAACCATGGATCGTGGTTAACTATAGTTGTAGGTCGCGGCCAAACAATCGCGGGTGATATAGGAGTCCGCCAGGATTCTTGCCAACCATCAAACCATTCAAACAAAATATTCGTATGAAGCTAGTGGTGAAACAGAAAACTGTCACGGAGCAAAACTCACAAATTAAGATCAATACAGAAACCGTGAACTGTGTGACATCACGTGAGCGACACGAATATCATGTTTGCAAAGGTGATTGCTATAAAACGATGAAAACCTGAACTTTGCAAACAGAAAGAATTATTTGTAACTCTACCCCCGCCGTGATATAAAAAGATGGACAAATTTAACATCAACAGCTAATCCACCGTAACTTGTTAGTTTTCATTATATCTTTTAGACTGGATGTTTTACAGCGATATTTTCCCGGAACTAGATTCTACAACACTGTACTGCTGTGTACCGCATTATTCGTGAATCTATCAACAAGTGTATTTCACAATCCATTTGTGTCATTGTTTTACCAAAAGATGATCAATTTTTGCTCAAGCAATTGCTCAAATACCTGGTTTACAAAGTCTAAGTAATTGCATGCTACGAATAAAAATCAATCGAACATTTCAAATGTACGAGAGATAAATTACCGACAAATTTCAACCGATTAGAGGGAAAGAAAATCCCAAGAATCACGGTGCACAGTTACCGGGAGGGATTATGCAGAGTTGTACTGCTCTTTCTCTCTCTCTCTCGGAGATTATTTGCTTCTATTCACGTACTCACAATACGGATCAAGCACGGGATGTAGATTTTATGAATCACTTAAGAGTGCCAAAAGCCGGAGAACGAAGAATGGAATGGTTTGTGTTCCATCGAACTAACATCTTCAAATCAACTCATTCAAATACCAAAGTCGGATAGTTACATATTTGGTACTGTCTAACAGTACACTCAAACAGATTACGCACATCCACGTGAAAAGATGAATATAGTATTCTTATAGAAGCTCGATGAAGCCCACGACGAGTCCGTTTTCGAATTATTGAACTGTTCTGAGGTAATTTAGTGCGTTTGAATAAATCGATCCTTAAAAACTGAGCACCTTTCATAACCTACAGAATGACTGGCTTTTAGAGATTGTCTCAACAACTTCATTTCAAATAGTTGTTTGGCAGATTTCAGCTATTGCTGCGCTTCTCTTCAGTCGAATGGAGAAGAGCCTTCAAAAAGCAGCACGTATTGATCTGGTATGTACTAACTTGGAGATCTTGTTCGAATCAAGCCTACTGAATGGTATTGAGTGAGGGGTGAGGGGTGGTGGACTGCGAATAGACCAGAGTAACAATGAAAAAAGATACGCAACAGTCTACTTACCGGTACAGCTGCCCAAAATGAGCATTCTTCTGTGGGTAGCAGGGGAACACGCCATCGTAGATACAGGCCCAACCCGGTTGCAGCAAGTCCGAGGACAATTTGCATGGACACAAGAAGTACAATCAGTTGACAGAAACAAAGTCCATTTGAACTGGACTTGTTCGGAAGCATGCGCGTTTCGATTCGTGTGTCCTCCTCATCCTCATCCTCGTCCTCGTCCACCGCTTGGTGATACTCCTGCTCCTCCTCTTCTTCATCCTCGACCCACAATTTCACCGCCTCATTGTCTGGATCGCTACCCAGTACGGAGCTTGTTCTGGTCTCTGTTTGGGGCATGGGAATCCGTACGGAATACGTGCTAGTGTTACCGCGACACGTGCAGTGTGTGCCGGGATTAAGGCAACTCATACAGTGAGACAAATGCTGTCCGGATACTGCTGCAGGTGTTTGTGTGATCAATTCGCCCAGTGTCTGACAGTTGACCGATCGAGCACGACGTGTATGAAATGGAGGCTGTAACCAGTACGGTTTCGTGTCTGTGCCATCAGTATGCCGACGCTGTGAGAGAGGGGAACGAATGGCATATGAACTATTGTGACTGAGAAATCCAGTTGGCGGGCCTACGTAACATGGGACTGGGGCTATATCATGCGCGTGGGCGGCAAAGCACGGTCCATGTGAAAGGGAAAAATGTCGGTGAACTCCACGTCCATTTGGACGACAGCGGGATTTCGGTGGCTCGCTAGTACCCTGTTGAGCCATCAGCTGTTCGTAACGGGTAAAATCTGTGTCCGAACTGCGACGTGGCTTCATTTCCGTGGCGTACTCGGACATGGAAGAGGTGCGACGCAGGTGGGCAGGAATTGCCATATGTGTGGTGATTGGGAACGAGTTACTCAGATTGGAATGTGGAATTTGTGGAGACATGTTGAGCAAACAGTTGGTGGACAGCTGCGGAGACGATGCATCCGAGCTGGAATAGGTGGGAGTGAGTGAGCTACGTTTGACTTTCCGGGGTTTGTCCGAACGGGAACCTTTCATGGCCGGATGACGCATGCACAACTGACCACAGTTCTCGTGCATTACTTCCAGGGCACTGAGCTGACTCAAATTAGACCCGGACAGATTGTCGTTTGGGAAAAACGGATAGGGATAGTGAGCGTGGTAATGTGCATGTCGGGTATACCGGTGTGGACAAGCCAAATGGGCAGATTCCATTCCGGGGTGCAATCCGCAACAAGCCATACTACCCCCGAATTCTGACAATACTCCGCCCGAACTGAACTCGTGATTTTTTGCAAAGTCTTCCGGGTAGAGAAAACACGCAGATCGTTCTTTATAACTTCTGGCCGAGCGAAGGGAATGAGAGTGACTGAGAGAACGCCCACTCCGTGGTACATCGAGAAGTGTATAATCCGATGTGGCATCCTTTGAAGAAGACGAGGATGGATGAACAACCCATTGTGGATGGGCAGTGGCTGAAGTAACCGAGTGACGAGAAGAACGGGAATTCGGCCGGCTGTTTGGAATGGTGTCATTGGATCGGGGACTAGATGACTCTTTGGACGAGATAACATTAGGGGATAAGAAAATTCCGGGTCTGAGGGATGGAGAGTTTGCACTCTGTGATAGCTTTCCATCCACCGTATCACTGAGAGCACCCAGAGTATCCGCGTCAAGATCCTCACGACTTCCACAACTGGAATTTCCAGGTGAACTGTGCGGGAGTTCAATCACAATGGCTGGAGGAAATGGGAAATTCTTTTGTACACTCAGTGTCATTTTGATGGATTGAAAAACAAAGTCAGAAGCAGTTTGAACACAAGTTCAAGGGGAACATATTACCCAATGGGTTTGCCAATCAGTCTGTTTTCGTTATTTAAATATCCTTCTACTCTCTGTTTTCTGATTGGTTGAAAATTCTCTGTTTCTGATTGGCTCTCCCAATTACCAGTGGGAAACGAGGTGATGTCAAATCACGCTGCAGCATGCATGTCGTATTATCACCATTGGTAGATAGCTGAGATGTACAATATCGTAAGAAAATAAAGATAACTATCTGTTGTCTGTGTTCACATAAAATTCCCATTTAGTAAACAGAAAGTCAATTATCTGCTGAATAATGTAACATCAAACTCATTCATAGAAAGAATTAAATACCCCATCATTTTGAGGGTAAACTAAGAAAACATGGGTTAATTTGGAATTCTCGAAAATCAGAAAACAGGTGAAGTTAATGTTGCCGGGGTGGTCTGTTCTCGGGTTACAAGTATTGATTGAACTCGTACGACATAACTCTCAAATTAGAAATGTATTTCGGTTTCCAACCTAACTACCTGTGTATCGATAGGTGTGGATGAAGACCGCGTATTTCGAACTTTACCTCCAACCGCAGTATTCTTACTTCTCTTGTTTTGTCATTTAAACGAGCGTGATCATATTCAACCCCGTGAATGGGGCTCAAAACACTAGTCATTTGAGGGGGGGGGGAGGCGGTAGGGGAGTGGAGGGGAGATCTGACCAATGTCAGGATGTCGCACCAGTTCCGTCAATACCTGTAGTCTTTGGAGCCTCGTTAACTCGCCCGTACTTCGATATATTGCAGCTTCCGATATCATTATCCTATGCCAGAGCTTACTGAACGATTTATCGATCAGATCAGTTTGAAGTTAAGTCGCTTATGATGAGATTTTGAAATTGTGGCGGTTAAACTACAACCATGATAAATAACGTTTTTTTGTATTAAGTGTTCATGTTGCCTTGTTGTTTTCTTGCCCAATTTTATTAGCCAGTCAAGCTTTATTTTTTGTGCTAATAAATACACATCTAACTACGCACACTAGAGGATAAATTTACGAAAACTAACATGATTTCATACAATATATGAAATGAGTTAGTCTCAAACCGAATAATCCTTGAGCGTGTAGAAAGAGAATGTTAACTGTACGTAGACTCTCTAGAATAATCCGGACCGAGGTTTGGAATCAAAACACGGAAGATGTCGTCAAAACGAACTGCCAAAATCCATATACTTTTCAACCATTATATTAAAACTCATATGCGGGAACATTGGTTACCATAGATGCGCTTTAGACAACTTTATTTAATTACTGTTAAGTGGCGGAGACTTCAGACTGAGAGTGGAAAATATCAGCTCACTCAAGCTATTGCACGTGACTCATCGATTTCGCTCTCCGCATTGAGAGTTTGAATTTGCGTGACCTTGAGTGTTGCGATAAAATTTGTAGTAGTTCAAAAGGTACAGCTCAAATTTCGTAAATATTTTACACAAAGCAGCATGGGAATGCATTCTTTTTAATAAATGATTCCTGTTCAATGAGAGTGTTTAATAGTTGAGCAAACGTATTCTAAATTTCTCATAACTTATTTTTCAGTGTACGGTAAATGAGCAAATTATTCAAAATATTCTAGCTTAAATAAATTGATAAACTATTTGGCTATAAAATACTCACGCATTATCCACAATAGTGAAAGAATTGAAAACATTGTCTAAAAAACACATAAGTTGCTCTTCGAAGGCTGACCTTGAGGTGTGCTGCTCGGTGAATAAACGTACCATACCTAAACTGGATGAAACATTCAAAAGGTTTTGGCATATAATCAAAACCTAGACGCAACTTAATCGACAGGCGCATCAATCCGATGATGCAGTTGGTGTCTTGTAGAAGTGCTTCGATGTGAACATGAGCCCAGATTGTTACATATTCAACGAAATTTCGCCATCAAGACATAAACCGAGAGAGAGAGAAAACCGATCATATCAAAACAAGACGATGGTTGTATTTGATCGAAGCATAGAAGAGTTGCACTAAACCAATCTGGAATGATGGTCCCGGATGATTAACCGTTTTTCCTCGTGCTTTAGTTTTGAAAATGGTGACTCATTTTAACGTGCAGCTGAGGTCACGTGATATGAAACCGTTATGGGACGCCCAACAAAGCAGAGCACATATTGATTTTACCAACGGAATCAAACCTCGTTGCCCGTCCAGTTGGCAAAAGGTTTACCTCACTGCTGGCTAACAAGTAATTTAGTATGCGGTGTGAGCTTATCTACTGAGCTAGTTTTCTAACGAATTTCATTTTACCCGTGAAAAGAAGAAAGTATTCATCCGGCCTGACGGAAGTAAATACTGAATGCCTTGTTATTGGTCTGCTGTACACAACATGCTGGATATCACAGAAATGTTTTGCACCGATAAGGGAGTTTTTCGGTAACTATCACTCTCAAAATGCATTCGTGGAAGACATATTTTTCACAGATGAATTTTGCTAAATTTTCTCACTTGAGGTTGTTGGTAAAAGACGATTAGACGTAATCAAATATTATTTTTTCTCTGGTGGGGTCGGATTTAATGTCAAATTTGTTCAGTTACCGCGCTGC